GTGTTGGTGTGTTGAGAATTAATTCATCCATTTATTTTATTTGAATTTCGTTGTATCACGTAATGAATGCAAAATTTATCGAAGATCCAATTTACAATAATTTTTGTAATTTATATGATATTATTATTTATCTAATATTTTGATATCCTAGAATGTCTAAAGATTTTAAACAAGAGATCAAATCAGAACAAGTGGAGATCTCAGAGAAATCCAACGGTTTCCTCTGTCCAATGTGCGGAGCACATTTCTTTTCAGAAGACTTCTTTGTTGAGCACATCAAAGAACATAAATCAGTATCAAATTGTTCCATCAAACAAGAAATAAAATCTGAATCAAATAAACCGTCTGTTTTCATGTGTCCAGTTTGTGCTGAACATGTTTACTCAGACGCTCAGTTAATAGAACATGTTAAACAGCACCATGATCACAGCAGCCAAGAAGTACCTGAAAACCTTGATAATGCAGATAACTTGACGGGAGTAAAACCTCAGAAAACATTAGTTCTGTCTCCTAGTGAGAGTTTGTCAGTGAAACCCTTCAAATGTTCAGAGTGTTCATATGCTACAAGTAGAACTAGTGACCTTACTAGACATATGGGTATTCACTCTGGAGAGAAACGCTTCAAATGTTTAGAGTGTTCATTTGCTGCAAGACAAGCAAGCCATCTTACTAGACATATGAAGATTCACAATGAAGAAAAACCCTTTAAATGTTCTGTGTGTTCATTTGCTGCAAGTCAAGCAAGTAATCTTACTACACATATGAGAATTCACTCTGGAGAGAAACCCTTCAAATGTTCAGAGTGTTCGTTTGCTGCAAGTAGAGCTGGTAATCTTACTACACATATGGTTATTCACTCTGGAGAGAAACCCTTCAAATGTTCAGAGTGTTTATATGCTACACGTAGAGCTGGTAATCTTACTAGACATATGAAAATTCAATGTGTTGAAAAAAGATTCAAATATTAGCAGTTTCTCAATAATTGTAGCATGCTTGTATTGAAACATTATTTCAATACAAGCAGGTGATGTTACAATACTATATAATACCTCCGCCACTGAGTGCTGATCGCGATAATTCCCGACAGCTTGCTGGAGGGAACGCGAGGGCAAGAAGTAGTGGAGGTATTATATTTTTCCCTTCCGGGAATTATAGCCACTAAAAGTCTGGGACACCGAGAGCTGATAATTTGCACATTTTTCTTGCAAGGGAGGCGAAGGTATTATCAGCATAGACTCAGACTGGCAGGCGGCAAGTTTCAAAATAATAACACCGGCGTTCTATATATTAGACACTATATTGTATGGCGGCACGTATCGGATTACACCCCTTCCAATCGGAACCAGAACGTATAATAATTCATAATAGGAGACTAAACAATTGCATGAAACCCTTTAAATATTCAGTGTGCTCATATTAATATCTTACAGTTCAAATGGATAATCTTTAAAACAAAATATTTCTCTCTGGTTAGAATTCTTCCAGATGTTAATGATGATTATAGTCTGAAAGGGATTGTTAACATATTATGTAAGTCAGATTTGGGCTATTTTAGACTCTTCCCCCACTGTAAGCCACTTTGCAGACAGCCTTAGTATAGAAATTTCAAAATGGGGACTTGCTAGAAGATTAGTTGTAAAAATGCTATCTTTGCTCATATTATATGCTGCTGCAATGGTATTATGATGTTTTAAAATGTCCGAAAATTCATTCTGGTGAAAAGCTATAATTATATCAACACAATTACAAATAGATTGACTGTAGTTTCTGAAGCATTATTTTTAATTATAATTGCAAGTGTTTTATTTTAGATGAGATAATTCGTGTTGGTGTGTTTAGAATTAATTCATCCATTTATTTTATTTGAATTTCGTTCTATCACGGTATGAATGCAAAATTTCTCGAAGATCCAATTTACAATAATTTATGAGAAATCCAACGGTTTCCTCTGCCCAATGTGCGGAGCACATTTCTTTTCAGAAGACTTCTTTGTTGAGCATATCAAAGAACATAAATCAGTATTAAATTGTTCCATCAAACAAGAAATAAAATCTGAATCAGATAAACCGTCTGTTTTCATGTGTCCAGTTTGTGCTGAACATGTTTACTCAGACACTCAGCTAATAGAACATGTAAAACAGCACCATGATCACAGCAGCCCAGAAGTACCTGAAAACCTTGATAATGCAGATAATTTGACGGGAGCAGAACCTCAGAAAACATTAGTTCTGTCTCCTAGTGAGAGTTTGTCAGTGAAACCTTTTAAATGTTCAGAGTGTTCATATGCTACAAGTAGAGGTAGTGACCTACTAGACATATGAGAATTCACTCTGGAGAGAAACCCTTCAAATGTTCTCAGTGTTCGTTTGCTGCAAGAGAAACAGGTTATCTTACTAGACATATGAGAATTCACTCTGGAGAGAAACCCTTTAAATGTTCAGAGTGTTCATTTGCTGCAAGAGAAGCAGGTAATCTCACTCAACATATAACGATAATTCACTCTGGAGAGAAACGCTTCAAATGTTCAGAGTGTTCATATGCTACAAGTAAAGCTGGTAATCTTACTAGACATATGAGAATTCACTCTTCCAAAAAATGATTCAAATATTAACAGTATCTCAATTTTTCAATACAAGCAGGTGATGCTACTATACATAATATGAGACTAAACAATCGCAGGTAAACCTCCTAATATTCAGTGTGCTCATATTAATATCTTGCAGTTCAAATGGATAAGCTTTAAAACAAAATATTTCTCTCTGGTTAGAAATCTTCCAGGTGTTAATGATGTTTATAGTCTGAAAGGGATTGTTAACACATATATTATGTGAGTCAGATTTGGGCTATTTTAGACTCTTCCCCCACTGTAAGCCACTTTGCAGACAGCAAAGTATAGAAATTTCAAAATGTGGACTTGCTAGATGATTAGTTGTAAAAATTCTTTCTTTGCTCATACATATACTGCTGCTGCAATGGTATTCTGGTGAAAAGCAATAATTATATTGTCAGGGGTCTTTTATTATATTATCTATTATATTTGAGTATAAATTATAATACATTTTACCTTATATTTAACCATCACTCCCATCTAGGAAGTACTATTTGTGTATGTAATTGAGATCGTATCAGTGCCTTTCATTCTACTCAACGCGTTTCATTCTACTCTAAACAAGCTTGACAATATCAACACAAATAGATTGGCGTTAGTTTCTAAAGCATAATTTTTATTCATAATTGAGTAATTGCAATTGTTTTATTTTTAGATGAGATAATTCGTGATGGTGTGTTGAGAATTAATTCATCCATTTCTTTTATTTGAATCACGGTATGAATGCAAAGTTTGTCAATGATCGAATTTACAATAATTTATGTAATTTATATGATATTATTATTTATCTAATATTTTGATATCCTAGAATGTCTAAAGATTTTAAACAAGAGATTAAATCAGAACAAGTGGAGATCTCAGATAAATACAACGGTTTCCTCTGCCCAATGTGCGGAGCACATTTCTTTTCAGAAGACTTCTTTGTTGAGCACATCAAAGAACATAAATCAGTGTCAAATTGTTCCATAAAACAAAAAATTAAATCTAGTGCCTCAATTATAATATCCGCTCGGTCAAGATATGGTAAAGATGAAAGGAAAAAGGAACAGAAAGGGCGGGTGTTGTACGGTCCTAGTATTCCAAAGAGGAAACGTAATGCTCCCAAAGAAAGGGAATGGAGCAAAATTTCCCGGGACAGGAAGAAGAAGGATCCCTGTCTCTACCAAGAATGTCTAAGAAAAGACAGGGAAAGGAAGAAACCCTTTAAATGCTCTGTGTGTTTATATGCTGGAAGTAGAGCTAGTGCACTCACTAGTCATATGAGAATTCACTCGGGAGAGAAACCCTTCAAATAGTCAGATTGTTCGTTTGCTACAAGACAAGCAGGTAATCTTACTAGACATATGAGAATTCACTCAGGTAAAAAATGATTCAAATATTAACAGTATCTCAATATTTTAATACAAGCAGGTGATGTTACAATACATAATATGAGACTAAACTATTGGAGGTAACCCTCCAAATATTCAGTGTGCTCATATTAATATCTTGCAGTTCAAATGGATAATCTTTAAAACAGAATATTTCTCTCTGGTTAGAAATCGTCCAGATGTTAATGATGTTTATAGTCTGAAAGGGATTGTTAACATAATATGTGAGTCAGATTTGGGTTATTTTGACTCTTCCTCCACTGTAAGCCACTTTGCAGACAGTCTTAGCATAGAAATTTCAAAATGGGGACTTGCTAGAAGATAAGTTGTAAAAATGGTATTCTGGTGAAAAGCAATAATCATATCATCATAAATAGATCCAATTTACAATAATTTTTGTAATTTTTATGATATTATTATTAATATCTAATATTTTGATATCCTAGATATCTATACAAATAGATTGACGGTAGATTCTAAAAGTGTTTTATTTTAGATGAGATAATTAGTGTTGGTGTGTTGAGAATTAATTCATCCATTTATTTTATTTGAATTTCTTTGTATCACGGTATGAATGCAAAATATCTCGAAGATCCAATTTACAATAATTTATGTAATTTAAATTATATTATTATTTATCTAATATTTTGATATCCTAGAATGTCTAAAGGTTTTAAACAAGAGATCAAATCAGAACAAGTGGAGATCTCAGAGAAATCCAATGGTTTCCTCTGCCCAAAGTGCGGAGCACATTTCTTTTCAGAAGACTTCTTTGTTGAGCACATCAAAGAACATAAATCAGTATCAAATTGTTCCATAAAACAAAAAATAAAATCTGAATCGAATAAACCGTCTGTTTTCATGTGTCCAGTTTGTGCTGAACATGTTTACTCAGACACTCAGCTAATAAAACATGTTAAACAGCACCATGATCACAGCAGCCAAGAAGTACCTGAAAACCTTGATAATGCAGATAACTTGACGGGATTAGAACCTCAGAAAACGTTAGTTCTGTGTCCTAGTGAGAGTTTGTCACTTGTCAGTGAAACCCTTCAAATGTTCAGAGTGTTCATATGCTACAAGTAGAACTAGTGACCTTACTAGACATATGGGTATTCACTCTGGAGAGAAACGCTTCAAATGTTCAGAGTGTTCATATGCTACAAATAGAACTAGTGACCTTACTAGACATATGGGTATTCACTCTGGAGAGAAACGCTTCAAATGTTTAGAGTGTTCGTTTGCTACAAGACAAGCAGGCCATCTTACTAGACATATGAAGATTCACAATGAAGAAAAACCCTTTAAATGTTCTGTGTGTTCATTTGCTGCAAGTCAAGCAAGTAATCTTACTACACATATGAGAATTCACTCTGGAGAGAAACCCTTCAAATGTTCAGAGTGTTCGTTTGCTGCGAGTAGAGCTGGTAATCTTACTACACATATGGATATTCACTCTGGCGAAAAACCCTTCAAATGTTCAGAGTGTTCATATGCTACACGTAGAGCTGGTAATCTTACTAGACATATGAAAATTCAATGTGTTGAAAAAAGATTCAAATATTAGCAGTTTCTCAATAATTGTAGCATCACCTGCTTGTATTGAAACATTATTTCAATACAAGCAGGTGATGTTACAATACTACCTATATAATACCTCCGCCACTGAGTGCGGATCGCGATAATTCCCGACAGCTTGCTGGAGGGAACGTGAGGGCACGAAGTAGTGGAGGTATTATATTTTTCCCTTCCGGGAATTATATCCACTAAAAGTCTGGGACACGGAGAGCTGATAATTTGCACATTTTTCCCGCAAGGGAAGCGAAGGTATTATCAGCATAGACTCAGACTGGCTGGCGGCAAGTTTCAAAAAAATAACACCGGCGTTCTATATATCAGACACTATATTGTACTAGCAGGAACCCGTCTAACCCTAAAATGGTGTCAAGACTCAAGAGACTAAAACAATTATTACCTATTTAATTCGCGTTTTTGACACCACTTGGGGTACCAAATTTTGGGCTCTAAAACTCCTATTTCTTGGCCAATTTTTTATTTTTTCATGCTGATTTGGAGGCCATTAAAGCATTTGACCCAGTCAAAAAAGTTTCAGTTGTATATCTTTTACGGTTTTTGCAGAAATTCGCGTTAAAGTTGATGCCGTGGTGTCAGTAAAATGGCACAGATAAATATATATATATATATATATATATATATATATATATATATATATATATATATATATATATATATATATATATAATATATATATCGTCTCGCTTTATATATAGTAAGATGGTGCGCACGTATCGGATTACACCCCTTCCAATCGGAACCGGAAGGTATAATAATTCATAATAGGAAACTAAACAATTGCATGAAACCCTTTAAATATTCAGTGTGCTCATATTAATATCTTGCAGTTCAAATGAATAATCTTTAAAATAAAATATTTCTCTCTGGTTAGAAGTCTTCCAGATGTTAATGATGATTATAGTCTGAAAGGGATTGTTAACATATTATGTAAGTCAGATTTGGGCTATTTTAGACTCTTCCCCCACTGTAAGCCACTTTGCAGACAGCCTTAGTATAGAAATTTCAAAATGGGGACTTGCTAGAAGATTAGTTGTAAAAATCTAAAAATGCTATCTTTGCTCATAATATGCTGCTGCAATGGTATTATCTTGTTTTAAAATGTCTGAAAATTCATTCTGGTGCAAAGCAATAATTATATCAACGCAATAACAAATAGATTGACGGTAGTTTCTAAAGCATTATTTTTATTCATAATTGCAAGTGTTTTATTTTAGATGAGATAAGTCGTGTTGGTGTTTTGAGAATTAATTCATCAATTTATTTTATTTGAATTTCGTTGTATCACGGTATGAATGCAAAATTTCTCGAAGATCCAATTTACAATAATTTATGTAATTTATATGATACTATTATTAATATCTAATATTTTGATATCCTAGAATGTCTAAAGGTTTTAAACAAGAGATCAAATCAGAACAAGTGGAGATCTCAGAGAAATCCAACGGTTTCCTCTGCCCAATGTGCGGAGCACATTTCTTTTCAGAAGACTTCTTTGTTGAGCACATCAAAGAACATAAATCAGTATCAAATTGTTCCATCAAACAAGAAATAAAATCTGAATCAGATAAACCGTCTGTTTTCATGTGTCCAGTTTGTGCTGAACATGTTTACTCAGACACTCAGCTAATAGAACATGTTAAACAGCACCATGATCACAGCAGCCAAGAAGTACCTGAAAACCTTGATAATGCAGATAACTTGACGGGAGCAGAACCTCAGAAAACGTTAGTTCTGTCTCCTAGTGAGAGTTTGTCAGTGAAACCCTTCAAATGTTCAGAGTGTTCATATGCTACAAGTAGAGCAGGTACTCTTACTAGACATATGAAAATTCACTCTGGAGAAAAACCCTTTAAATGTTCAGAGTGTTCATATGCTGCAAGAGATGCAGGTGATCTCACTAAACATATAAAGAGAATTCACTTTGGAGAGAAACCCTTTAAATGTTCAGAGTGTTTATTTGCTACATCACGATCCAGTGATTTAACTAGACATATGGGAATTCACTCTGGAGAGAAACCCTTTAAATGTTCAGAGTGTTCATTTGCTGCAAGAGAAGCAGGTAATCTCACTAAACATATGCGAATTCACTCTGGAGAGAAACCCTTTAAATGTTCAGAGTGTTCATATGCTGCAAGAGATGCAGGTACTCTTACTAGACATATGAGAATTCACTCTGGAGAGAAACCCTTTAAATGTTCAGAGTGTTCATATGCTGCAAGAGATGCAGGTACTCTTACTAGACATATGAGAATTCACTCTGGAGAGAAACCCTTTAAATGCTCTGTGTGTTCATTTGCTGCAAGAGAAGCAGGTTATCTCACTCAACATATAACGAGAATTCACTCTGGAGAGAAACGCTTCAAATGTTCAGAGTGTTCATATGTTACAAGTATAGCTGGTAATCTTACTAGACATGTGAGCAGGTGATGCTACAATACATAATATGAGACTAAACAATCGCAGGTAACCCTCTTAATATTTAGTGTGCTCATAATACTATCTTGCAGTTCAAATGGATAATCTTTAAAACAAAATATTTCTCTCTGGTTAGAAATCTTCCAGATGTTAATGATGTTTATAGTCTGAAAGGGATTGTTAACATATTATGTGAGTCAGATTTGGGCTATTTTAGACGCTTCCCCCTGTGTAAGCCACTTTGCAGACAGTCTTAGCATAGAAATTTCAAAATGGGGACTTGCTAGAAGATTAGTTTTAAAATTGCTATCTTTGCTCATAATATGCTGCTGCAATGGTATTATGATGTTTTAAAATGTCTGAAGATTCATTCTGGTGAAAAGCAGTAGTTATATCATCACAAATATATTAGTTAGCAAGTGTTTTATTTAAGATGAGATAAATTGTTGATTGAGTGTTGAGAATTAATTCATCCATTTTTTTATTTAAATTTCTTTGTATCACGGTATGAATGCAAAATTTCTCGAAGATCCAATTTACAATGATTTTTGTAATTTACGGGTAAACCGCCCCTAAAACGTCACCGGTTTTTTGGCCCAGATTGCCGAGTTACTAGGGCTAAATTTACAGGGTTCTAAAGTGTCTAGGAATGATATTTAAACCTTTTTCTAGCCTGCCAGGAAGTTTGGAAATTTGAAAATAAAATCAGGTACAATTTTGTTGACGTTGAAATGGAGTCACTTTTAAAACACCACCCCTAAAATGTCAACTCTCTATGTGTGATAATTACAAAATGTACAGGAGGCCTGATTTATCTTTTGTCACTAGTACTATTTGTTTTGTCTTATTAAAACATTAAGCTACTTGAAAACATTCACTCACTAAAGGAAGTACCTCAAAACCGTAATCACCCCCTAAAATGTCACGTGCACCACCCCTAAAACGTCAGCTAAAACAAGTTGTGTAGCACTCAGACTGTTGCTCAATTATTAATTTTAACCACTTCTTGGACAAATATAACCTATTTCTGAGAGGTGTCGACTAGAATTTCTCTCTCTGTTGAAAAAAAAATGGTGGAATTTCGTCAATTTACTTTTTGTGACATTTTGGGGACTTTTTTTTGAATACCCAGAACTTACGGCAAAACAGTAACTCAGTCAACAAAATTAACACCTGTAGTTAGATTATCTAGTTAACCTATGATATGCCCCCTAAAATGTCATTTTTTTCTCCCCTAAAATGTCAAATTTGTATTTGGTCGCATGGTGTGCGATAATAGCTCTTGTTTTGGCACTTGTTAATTATTAACATCAAGAATTAACGAAATGTGAGTATGCATTGCATCTTAGGAAAAGCCTGAGTAATTTGATCAGGTTAAAATGACATTTTAGGGGGGATAATTAGACATTTTAGGGGATGTTTATTGCGATTAATAAAATACAACTAATTCCTTGAGCTGCCAAAGCTTTCCAATATTACCATTAGATGCTAAATATGATGTTTAATAGGCTGGTACCTCCATTTTATGGTGCTTGTAGTCTCAAAGCCAGAATCTGATAAAATTACATTTTAGGGGGCGGCCAGTTGACATTTTAGGGGAAGGTAGTAATATTGAGTAATGTATAACTTTCCATATCTCCAGTCATATGTACAAAGTTGCTAAAATATGTAAATATCACTATCCTAGACCAAAACTGAGTTAATATTAATGAATTCCAGAGTTATAAAATTGTGCGCTTTTTTTTCAAAAGAAAAAAATTCGTACAAATTGAAAAAAATGCCCTTGTGGCATCATTTAGATTCAATTTCGGGATGTGGCAGGGTCTGAATGATATTTTTTTATGTTTAGGAGTTACAAATGATTAGGTAAGATACTTTCTAAGAAGATGGAATCCAATCAATCAAGAGTGGCGTTTTAGAGGTGGGTGACATTTTAGGGGCGGTTTACCCTTATATGATATTATTATATATAATAATAATATCATATAAGGTTTACCCTTATATGATATTATTATTTATCTAATATTTTGATATCCTAGAATGTCTAAAGATTTTAAACAAGAGATCAAATCAGAACAAGTGGAGATCTCAGAGAAATCCAACGGTTTCCTCTGCCCAATGTGCGGAGCACATTTCTTTTCAGAAGACTTCTTTGTTGAGCACATCAAAGAACATAAATCAGTATCAAATTGTTCCATCAAACAAGAAATAAAACCTGAATCAGATAAACCGTCTGTTTTCATGTGTCCAGTTTGTGCTGAACATGTTTTCTCAGACACTCAGTTAATAGAACATGTTAAACAGCACCATGATCACAGCAGCCAAGAAGTGCCTAAAAACCTTGATAATGCAGATAACTTGACGGGAGTAGAACCTCAGAAAACTTTAGTTCTATCTCCTAGTGAGAGTTTGTCAGTGAAACCCTTCAAATGTTCAGAGTGTTCATATGCTACAAGTAGAACTAGTGACCTTACTAGACATATGAGAATTCACTCTGGAGACAAACCCTTCAAATGTTCAGAGTGTTCATTTGCTGCAAGAGAAACAGGTACTATTACTAGACATATGAGAATTCACTCTGGAGAGAAACCCTTCAAATGTTCAGAATGTTCATATGCTGCAAGTCAAGCAGGTAATCTTACTAGAAATACGAGAATTCACTCTGGAGAGAAACCCTTTAAATGTTCAGAGTGTTCATGTGCTGTGAGTAGAGCTAGTGCAATTACCAGTCTTAAGAAAATTCACTCTTGTGAAAAATGATTCAAATATTATCAGTATCTCAATATTTCAATACAAGCAGGTGATGCTATAATAAATAATATGAGACTAAACAATTGCAGGTAACCCTCTTAATATTCAGTGTGCTCATATTACTATTTTGAATTGCAGTTCAAATGGATTTAAGCTTTAAAACAAAATATTTCTCTCTGGTTAGAAATCTTCCAGGTGTTAATGATGTTTATAGTCTGAAAGGGATTGTTAACACATATATTATGTGAGTCAGATTTGGGCTATTTTAGACTCTTCCTAGCAAGTCCCCATTTTGAATTTGTATACGGTTTTAGTATAGAAATTTCAAAATGGGGACTTGCTAGAAGATAAGTTGTAAAAATTCTATCTTTGCTCATAATCTGCTGCTGCAATGGTATTATGATGTTTTAAAATGTCTGAAGATTCATTCTGGTGAAAAGCAATAATTATATCAACACAATAACAAATAGATTGACGGTAGTTTCTAAAGCATTATTTTTATTCATTATTGCCAGTGTTTTATTTTAGGTGAGATAAGTCGTGTTGGTGTGTTGAGAATTAATTCATCCATTTATTTTATTTTAATTTCGTTGTATCACGGTATGAATGCAAAATTTCTCGAAGATCCAATTTACAATAATTTTTATAATTTATATGATATATTATTATTTATCTAATATTTTGATATCCTAGAATGTCTAAAGATTTTAAACAAGAGATCAAATCAGAACAAGTGGAGATCTCAGAGAAATCCAACGGTTTCCTCTGCCCAATGTGCGGAGCACATTTCTTTTCAGAAGACTTCTTTGTTGAGCACATCAAAGAACATAAATCAGTATCAAATTGTTCCATCAAACAAGAAATAAAATCTGATTCAGATAAACCATCTGTTTTCATGTGTCCAGTTTGTGCTGAACATGTTTACTCAGACACTCAGCTAATAGAACATGTTAAACAGCACCATGATCACACTAGAATACGAGAATTCACTCTGGAAAACCCTTAGTAATGTTCAGATTTCATTGCTGGAGTAAGCAGTATCAATACCGTCTTAGAAAACCTTCAAGTCTCATGTGAACAAGTATTGATTAAATATACGATATCCTGGACTTATGTATGGTTCGAGAAACTTCAATGTTCAGATGTGGTTTTACACACGCCTGACTTACACTAAGTTTCCTCTAGAATAATCAAATGTTCGAGTGTCAACTAAACAATTGCAGGTAACTTCTTAATTAATGGCCAATTACTAGTTGAAAAATAACTCAAATGGATTTTAAGCTTTTTAAAACGAACATATTCTCTCTGTTAGTAAATCTTCCAGATTGTTAATGAGTTTATAGTCTAAAGGGATTGTATACATATATTATTGTAGTCAATTGGACAATTTAGTACTCATTTTTTCATAATACTTTGTAAGTTTAATGTTATACGTTTAGATAGGAAATTTCAAAATGATACTTGCTAAAGATTATTTAAATAATTCTATCAAATTGCTCATATTAATGTGCAATGGTAATATGAATAGTTTTAAAATTCTGAAATTCGTTCTTGCGAAAGCAATAATTATTAAACTATACAAATAGATTGACGGTAGTTCAAATATTATTTGATTATATGCCAGTTTTTATTTAGGTGAGTAATCTGTTGGGCTGTTGAGAATTAATTCATCCATTATTTTATTTTAATTCGTTGTTACCATCACGAATGAATCAAAATTTCTCGAGATCCAATTTACAATGATTTATAATTTATATGATTTATTATTTATGTATCTAAGGCTAATTATTATATCCTAAATGCTAAAGGATTAACAAATTTGATAATTATTGCAAATATCATAAATAAGTGAATTATCTCAGGGACATAGATTACTCCTAAGAATGTATTTCTGAAATGTTTGTTCGACGTAAGTGATGTGTTCTTTTCAGAAAGACTTGCTTTGGTTGGATGCTGTACGAGGTCAAAGTAGCATCCCAGAAGTACCTGAAAACCTTGATAATGCAGATAACTTGACGGGAGTAGAACCTCAGAAAACGTTAGTTCTGTCTCCTAGTGAGAGTTTGTCAGTGAAACCTTTTAAATGTTCAGAGTGTTCATATGCTACAAGTAGAACTAGTAACCTAACTAGACATATGAGAATTCATTCTGGAGAGAAACCCTTTAAATGTTCAGAGTGTTCATATGCTACAAGAGAAGCAGGTAATCTTACTAGACATATGAGAATTCACTCTGGAGAGAAACCCTTCAAATGTTCAGAGTGTTCATTTGCTGCAAGAGAAACAGGTACTCTTACTAGACATATGAGAATTCACTCTGGAGAGAAACCCTTCAAATGTTCAGAGTGTTCATTTGCTGCAAGACAAGCAGGTAATCTTACTAGACATATGAGAATTCACTCTGGAGAGAAACCCTTTAAATGTTCAGTGTGTTCATTTGCTGCAAGAGAGCAGGTACTCTTACTAGACATATGAGAATTCACTCTGGAGAGAAACCCTTTAAATGTTCAGAGTGTTCATATGCTACAAGTAGAGCTTAATCTTACTAGACATATGAGATTTCACTCGGGTGAGAAACCCTTCAAATGTTCGGAGTGTTCATATGCTACAAGTAGAGCTGGTCATCTTACTTTACATAAAATGAGAATCCACTATGGTGAGAAACAAAATTAACAGTCTTAAATGTTACTGTTTTTTAATTCGGGAGCATCTTACGATTTTTATCATATTACTTGATTGTTAATAAAGGATTAAATTAAAAACTACATAGCATAGTATTATTTTATTGCTCACTAACGAAGTTTATGACGTAGTCTATTTGTTTCATTCAATATCTTGTTTGTAAGTTACATGTTATAGATCTATGGATGGAAATGTTCGGGAAAAATGATTACTGTTCATTAAATCGTAATTATTTGAAGCTGCATATTTAAAAAAAGTAAATCCATTTAAATGTTGATTTCAACATAAAAATGACTTTATTCTATCATAATTGGGTATTTTCCCAGATTACATTATTTTTTTAATAGGTATAGCGCACGATGAAGGCATATGGTAGAAAATGATGAATGACAATGGCAAGTTTGTTGATAGTATAGTTGATGGACATCTTTCTGTTAAACCGACAGGTGAATACATTAATTGTTGTTGCTGAGTATACCATTAGAATTAGAAGCACAGGTCCAGATAATCTTCAGCATTTATTAACTCTTTGACTTGAAACCGTTTACTGCTCCATGTCTCAAATATGATTTGATGTATTAAATCGGGCTGTAATTCATTCATATTCCATCAAAATGCCAAAAGGCCATGAATAAGATTTTGATAAATATATTTAATAATAATCAATAAATATGACTTGTAATTATCCTGTCAGGGACCATAGCTGCTCTCCTACCCTGGCCTAAGAAATGGTATGTTTTAATGATCTTTACTGTTTTACTGACGTAAGTGATGGTGGGTGCTTGTTGGTGATGGCGGGTGCTTGTTGGTGATGGTGGGTGATGGTGGGTGCTTGTTGGTGATTGTTGGTGATGGTGGGTACTTGTTGGTGATGGTGGGTGATGGTGGGTGCTTATTGGTGATTGTTGGTGATGGTGGGTGCTTGTTGGTGATGGTGGGTGATGGTGGGTGCTTGTTGGTGATTGTTGGTGATGGTGGGTACTTGTTGGTGATGGTGGGTGATGGTGGGTGCTTGTTGGTGATTGTTGGTGATGGTGGGTGCTTGTTGGTGATGGTGGTTGATTGTGATATTAACAATATAACTATATAACCCAGGATATCATGTGATCTGATCGACGGATTGCTGCGTATTTACAACAAAGAGGCTGACGAGGAGTGCCAAACTGTGATACACTTACCTGGCTCTGAGTTTGCTGTAGACTCTAAAGAGCCGCTCCAGTTCTCGGTGGATGTTAAACATCCTCAGTAAGTTATTAGTTAATACCTTACTTTATATAATCAACAAACATTCTCAGTAAGTTAATATCTTACTTTATGCATTTAACAAAAATCCTCAGTAAGTTATTAGTTAAAACCTTACTTTGTATAATTAACAAACATCTTTAGTTTAGTAAGTTAATACCTTACTTTATATAAAGATTTAATTAACAAATACCCTCAGTAAATTAATGCCTTACTTTATATAATTAACAAACATTCTCAGTAAGTTTATACCTATATAACTTACTTACTATAATTCATTTTTTTAAAGTAATAGGAAATGTGAATGCCTATCATGGCTTTTTAGATGTCATATCTCACTTCTAATCATCTCGCTACGTAACTGAACTTAATATTCTGTTTAATGTGAGAAAGGTAGTTTGTCCGTGATGTTTAAATATTTATTGGATATTGGATATTGGATATTATTACCACTGGCACAGGAACCACTAATTTGCAGTTAAAAACGCATTATATTCCGAGACTTTTCTGAGTAATACTGCAAAATTTAACATAAAGTCGCAGACTCTAGACAGCAAATTATTTCGCAACATGAAATGCAAAGCTCGTGTCTCGGAGAGTTGATTAATTGGTTGCAACTTGTGTTGTAAGGTTTGGTAGTATTGTGGGGGGGGGGGGGGGGGGGGCGGGGGGCACAGTGCAGTGGGCAATCTAATAGGGCATTATGACTTTTGCCTTTTTATGCCTCGGGGGGGGGGGGGGGGGGGGGGGGGGCGTTGATTCTTGTAATGGTGTGACACAATGTTATACCTACTTTATTTATTTACAATATATTAACATAATAATTTATTGTAATCGTGAGAGAAGGTACCTTACCTTACATTTGATACCTTTGATCTGCTTCGTCGAAACTCGACAGGCCATCAGAGTTGCTGACCACCCCAGAGAGAAGATGCCTCTCGATCGTTACGCCAGTCCAGTATAGAATTGGAGTTCGGTGATGTGAAGCCCCGGATTGGCGGTTTATCCGGCAAGGAAAGCATGAATGCCGTCATATGATGCTTGAAGCCATCATGTTTGGAGACTGCACGTATGTGCGAAGGTATACAGTTCCAGAGTCTGGGACCCATTACACCAAATGATGTTTCATATAGAGTCTGGTGAGCAGCTGAGCTTTTTGTACGAACAGCTGGAACCTTAGCAAGGGTACCCAATCGTGGATTTACTGTGAACTGTACTTCAAGGTCGTTGGATGTGAAACCATGTAGGATTTTCCACATGTGCATGACAATGTAACGTTCTCTGCGCCTCTGAAGTGACATGAGGGACAGGGTTTTTAGGCGATCCCAATAATGGAGATGCTGTAAACCATGGATCTTTGAAGTGAAAGTTCTTTGTACACTTTCAAGCTCCTGAATTTCATACACTTTCGCCGGATTCCACAGAGGAGAGCAATACTCTAAGTGGCTACGGACTAGTGACTTGTATAGTGTTAACATAACACCAGTATTGCGAGAGTGGAAGACACTGAATACCCATGCTGCCATCTTCCTCGCTTTATCACAACTAGATCGTATGTGTGATGTCCAGGACGTATCACTGGATACTGTTATACCGAGATCACGGAGCTGATCCACAGGACTGAGTATAGTACCAGTTGATGTTCTGTATTGGAACTGTTCATGGACAAAAGGAAGCTCATAGAGAGGATTACGTTTGTTGGCAAGATGGCATATGTACTCAAACTTATCCTCATGTAGTGCCATGTTGTTTCTTGATGACCACTCAGTGACTTTGTCAAGATCAGACTGAAGCTCAGTAACATTATGTGAATCACTGATGGATCTGCAAATTCTTGTGTCGTCAGCGAAACATCTTAACGTTGAATGCAACACGCAGCTAGCAATGTCATTAATGAATATTAAAAACAGTATGGGACCTAAAACTGTTCCTTGGGGGACACCACTCATAATAAGAGCAATGATAGACATGTGACCATCTACAACAACTTGTTGACTTCTATTTGTAAGAAATGACTCGATCCAGATGATGATTTTGGGATGAAAACCATATAGCTGCAGTTTTTTGATAAGAATTTGATGATCTACTTTATCAAAGGCCTTGGCATAATCCAAGTATATAGCGTCCATGTCGTCACCATTTGATAACGCCTCGATGATGTCATCAAAATGATGAAGCAGCTGAGTGAGACAACTTTTCCCCGATCGGAAGCCATGCTGTTTGCTATTGAGGTAAGTATACAACTTAATTCTTTATATAGTTTAAATATTTCACAATCTTACAACTGGATAGTAGGTCGAGAGCTTATTGTTCTTTTGGCAGTAGGATACAGTGGGACACAGTGGGACACAGTGGGACACAGTGGGGCACAGTGGGACACAGTGGGACACAGTGGGACACAGTAGGATACAGTGGGACACAGTGGGACACAGTGGGACACAGTGGGACACGGTGGGACACAGTGGGACACAGTGGGACACAGTGGGACACAGTGGGACACAGTGGGACACAGTGGGGCACAGTGGGACACAGTGGGACACAGTGGGACACAGTGGGACACGGTGGGACACAGTGGGACACAGTGGGGTACGGTGGGACACAGCATCGTCCTACTAAGGGGAACTCTGACCAACTTTCTAATTCATATAGTGTTTTCTATAAGTAATTAAATAAGTAATTTTAAGTTATAATAAGTAATTTGTTGCTAAGTTGTTGTAAGTAATTTGTTACAATGCATACTTCAATACGACTAAGGTTAATGTTTTACATTTCTGACATTTTTCAAAGAATGAGTAATGAATTTTAAGTATTGTGAATGTTTTGTCTAGCCGACCAGGTGCACTTTTTCTTTGTTGAATCTTTTTTTTATTCATGAAAATGCACCTTGACTATACTGTGGTTATTGTTTGACCCTGTCAGTGAGTGTTTATAATACAATAATACCTTGTTTATCATAACACGTGGTATGACGTCATAACACGTGTTATGACGTCATACCACGTGTTATGACGTCATACCACGTGTTATACTGGCTGTTGAGTGCCTCGGGTGAGCACGAAACTAAGCCAAGGTATTATTTATTGTTATTATTTTTTCCGGTTTTGATTGGAAGATGTGTAATGTGATACGTACGCATGATACAATACTAGCAGGAACCCGTCTAACCCTAAAATGGTGTCAAGACTCAAGAAACTAAAACAATTATTACCTATTTAATTCGCGTTTTTGACACCACTTGGGGTACCAAATTTTGGGCTCTAAAACTCCTATTTCTTGGCCAATTTTTTATTTTTTCTTGCTGATTTGGAGGCCATTAAAGCATTTGACCCAGTCAAAAAAGTTTCAGTTGTATATCTTTGGCGGTTTTTGCAGAAATTCGCGTTAAAGTTGATGCCGTGGTGTCAGTAAAATGGCACAGATAAATATATATATATCGTCTCGCTTTATATATAGTAAGATAGTGTGTAACATAATATAGTGCGCCACTGTTATTTGTTTTGAAACTCCCCCCAGCCAGTCTGGGGTGACTCGCAGTCTGTCCTCATTTAAACACTCTTGCAACCCTTGCGGGAAATTATCGGTTACCAGTGTCCACGACTTTTCGGGAAATAATTCCTGGAAAATATTATAAACAAGACCTCCTCATATACGTCCTGCTCAGATTTGTTTATATTATCAAAGCTTTCCTTGGGAATAGAACTTTGAGTACCTCAATTGTGTCTTGTGCTATCCTCAGTGACCCTGTAAGATGGTCAGTCAAGAAAAATCCAGTCAAAACAGTGAAATTTGGGTCGCAGAAAGCTGAAATTCGAATATGTCCTACCGGTAGGACATACTCAAAATTTTCATCGCATCAAAGGTTTCTCCGGATATAATGGTTCCAGTACCTTGATAGCGACTTGTGTCACTCTCACCGACCTCACTGATTGGTCACTGGTCACAATTTCAGTGAAAACCGCGACATTTCGGTCAAGGGGGGGGGGGGGGGGGGGGGGGGGGGTGGGGGGCGGCAGAAACGGTCCTCTTCAAAAATCTACCAAAATCTCTTTTTATATTGTGATTATTTTCCGTTTATCAAACTATAAACAGTGTTGTTCGTCCAGTTGTTAAGTTCATCTAACATATTATTACCTTCCAAATGACATGGCTAAACCTAATACCATCCTCGCTAAATAGGTGAAAATCAACCTTACCACCATTCTCATGCTAGTTGTGGAGCGAATAGAGCGAATAGAACGAATAAAGCGTTGACCCTATATAGTATAGTATATAATATATTATATAATACACCTATATAATACCAGCGTGTCAATCTAGGAACAGCTGTTCTAATATCCTCTAATTGAGCTGTAACAGGTGTTCTAATTGAAGTTTAATTGACCTGTAATAGAGTAGTAAGGGCAGTGGGTCTGGGTAGTGAGGTAGTGAGGTTCCACCCGAACTCACACGCTATGTAACATGACCATGTAACAGAACGATAATATCACATGTTACCGTGTTACACACCACACACCTGAACCACGCCCACGTGCCCACGTGCGGTGTGCACCACCTCCCCGGTGTAACAAAACACGTTGTTGAAAGTTAGCTCACTTTGCTCCACTGCTCCAGGTGGTTACTCGCATATTAAACAGTTTCCACACCTTTATACAGATCTCTCTCTCTCTCTCTCTCTCTCTCTCTCTCTGTGCGACCCGTATATTATACCGTTACTTTAACTGCAGCTACTTTAACTGCAGTTACTTTAACTGCAGCTACTTTAACTGCAGCTACTTTAACTGCAGCTACTTTAACTGCAGCTACTTTAACTGCAGCTACTTTAACTGCAGCTACTTTAACTGCAGCTACTTTAACTGCAGCTACTTTAACTGCAGCTACTTTAACTGCAGCTACTTTAACTGCAGCTACTTTAACTGCAGCTACTTTAACTGCAGCTACTTTAACTGCAGCTACTTTAACTGCAGCTACTTTAACTGCAGCTACTTTAACTGCAGCTACTTTAACTGCAGCTACTTTAACTGCAGCTACTTTAACTGCAGTTACTTTAACTGCAGCTACTTTAACTGCAGCTACTTTGATTGCAGCTACTTTGACTGCAGCTACTTTAACTGCAGCTACTTTAACTGCAGCTACTTTAACTGCAGCTACTTTGACTGCAGCTACTTTAACTGCAGCTACTTTAACTGCAGCTACTTTAACTGCAGTTACTTTAACTGCAGCTACTATAACTGCAGCTACTTTAGGGGGGGGCAACTAGAATAAAGTAGATAAAAGTAGAATGTCATCCAGTTTTTTGCGAATTCTACTCTACATTAGTCTACTTTATTCTACTTTATT